TTTTTTTTTTTTTTGTCTGTTGCCATTTTTTCTCAGCTCTCACTGGACCGATTTCTTTCAAAAGTACGCCAAAATATCACAAACCGTATCTAGTTGGAAACATTACCCTTAAAAATTGAAAAAAATTCTCTCGTTCCCCGAAAATGGGGGAAATATCCAAAAAAATTACAAATTAAAAAATCGGTAAATTTTGTCATTTTTTTCACTTTTTTTTTTTAAACTTCCATAACTTTTTCAAAAATTAACAAATCAACATAATTTTTTTTTATACTAAAACCTTAGATATTTACCTTTCATTTGATATCATTTTTTTGAAAATCTATCACTTAACCTGCTCATTGGGGGGATTTAAAATAGCAACTTTTTTACAAAAATGAACTTTTTCAACTTAATTTTTGAAAATGTTCCGGAAATACTGCGTCCTTCAAACATATATCAAATTAAAGCTTATTTTATGTACTATAATATGAAAAAAAAAATTTGTCCCGACACTTTATCTTCTGCATGTAAACGGCTGCCGTAGTTAAAAAAACACTATTTTTGTGTTAAAATTTTCGATTTTCAATTTTCAATTTTCAACTTAAAAATGCTATAACTTTTCGAAAAATGTATGTATCAGCACAATTTTTTTTTTTCTAAATACATTATAAGTACATCTTTCATTTGACATACTTTTTATTAAAATTGGACAAATTCCTCTTATATAGGGGGCGTTCAAAACTTGAAATATTGTTAAAAACATAGATCATTTTCAACTGAACTTTTGAAAATGTTCCGGAAATACTGCGTCCTTTAAACATATATCAAATTAAAGCTTATTTTATATACTATCAAATGAAAGAAAAAAATTTGTTCCGACGACCTATCTTCTATGCACAAATGGCTACCGTATTCAAAAATATGCTATTTTAATATTAAGGTTATAGTTGCTTTTGTAATTATTCATCAATTTCTTAGTATTAAACACTATCTATAGATTTGCATCGAAGCGTTTCTTATGATAGTGATTTTAATCACTGTCAGATTAAATCTATACTGGACCCAACTATGCAACGTCCCCACTATGCCGCGATCCCACTGTGCTGGATTTTTTAGAATTAAATACTATCTACAGATTTGCATCGAAGCTTTTTTATAATAGTAATTTTAATCACTGTCAGATATCATCTATACTAAACCCAACTATACCACGTCTTCAATGTGCTAGGTTATTATAGAATAAAATGACCTCTAATTAGCGGAAACAAGAAAATATTGAAATTAAAATTAGTACATATACCTTTTTTTTAACGGATAGTAGTATAATAAAAATATTTAATTATTATATATATATATTGTTAAATAAACAAAACGTCTAAGGGATTAGTGTGCATAAAAGTCATGCGTAACAATGACTACAATAATAATGATGATAATAGAGCTCGGATTTAAATTTATTTATAAATTTTGTTTGATTCATTTTGAAGATTTCCAATTTGTGAAACTGTTACTTACTGAAGAGTAGGGTTCTAAACCTCCCCCTCATCATAAATTATCTCAGCTATAAAGTGGAAGTATGGGGTCGAAGCCTCTCACAGGTCTATTATTAACATATTGTGAAAACTCTACCCGAACTAAAATCCTGTGTGTATCACTGGTAACTTTGTTATAGTAATATATAACAGCGTTAAAATATTTTTCGTTTTAATGAGGCATTAATCACCTTAATTTCCCTAAACTATAAACTTAGTAACAAAACATTTTCAATTAAATTAATACAATTTTGAATTCAATCTCTAAAGTGGAAATCTCTATTTAGCGGAATAAAAATTCGGTTCGCAACGTCTCTGTTGAAAGGAAGTTTCACTGTATATATTATGTAATGTATAATTTTTCAAAAAAATTACATTATAAACTGGCTTAATTGGAATTATGGGGATGTATCATTCATGGAATAATTATCGGTGAAAAAGGAGTTTGGCGAGATTATTTCATGAAACTAAAATGAAAAT